GAAGAGCGTTCCCCGCAGGAAAACGTGCCGCTTCCATCCCAGGACGCTCCATCCCGCCCTGGCCTGCCGCTTCGGGTCATTCACCGGCCATTAGGTGACCCCCTGCCCGCCCTGACCCATCTCCTCCCAAAGCCTGGGGTCAAATCCCCAGGCCATGGAGGGGACACGAGCAGGGCTGCTCCGGCTCCAGCTCTCTTCTCCCTTTCACCAGCAGCCAGTTTGGCCCCATTCCCCGTCCCGTCACCTCCGGCATCGCCTCCCTTTCCCATTCCCCTGCCTCTGTGTCACCCCGGGCCTCCCTGTGCCAGCGGCTGAGTCACCCCCGGTGACCAGCACCTGAGTCACGGGGACGAGGGAAGTCCCCCGGTGCTCGATGCTTTTCCAACCGGAGCTGAGTAAACGGGAAAGTGTCAAGGAATTTGGCTGGGGGGAAAGTGTTTTCTTGGAGCCCCGATAAGAGCAGCCTCTCTGCTGCATCCCCTTTGCCACAGTGAACTCGCAGCTGGCCAGGGAATGGGGGGGGGGGGTCCTTCCCTATCATGCAGAGAGATTCCAGGGCATGGAGGAGCTAGGAAAGGCTGGGAAAAGCAGGAAAAACATCCCCTGTCCCTTGCACCGCGTGTCCTTCAGCCCCCTGCAAGCGCCTTGCAGTGCATCCCCCCGCCCGTCCTTGGATGCTGCCGGCAGCCACCACCTCCTTCTTTGCCCTGTTCAGATTTGATGTGCAATAAAATACCTTGATTAAAAAAATACCAGGCGGCCAGACTCCCCTGCGAGCCCGCCAGAAAGCCCGCGATTAATGACCCTCGCATTCCCCTCCACCGCGTCTCCGTTAATGATTTACAGCGGCTCCTCCCCGGCATGTCCCCTCCCTCCCTTCCTCCCCGCGGCGCCCCCAGGCCAGGGCAGAGGGGAAGGGGCTCCAGGGGGGCCCCGCAGGGATTTTCTCACCCCCTGGCACATTCCCTGCGTGGGGACACCAGAGGCGAGGAAGTTACCACCACCCCCAGCCATGGGTCAGCCGCATCCTTGCACAGAGAGGACGGCACATGGCTCCATTCCTGGCGCTTCCCTGATTCCTGCCACGCGGGAGGAACCCGGGCTGGGCTGGCAGCCTCCCCCCACCCACCTGAGCCCCAGCACGCTCGGTGCACATGTGCCGAAGTGTGGGGGGAGCCGGGAACGGGGCCAGGGCTGCCCCCCGCAGCAGCCCCAGGCTTTGTGCTCCCGGCAGGCAGCCCCGAGGAGGTTTCATGTTACTGGGAAACTGGGATGGCGGGATGTTCCCGGGGCAGCCCCGCAGACAAAAGGCCATTGTGCAGCCGCGCAGCGATGGCTGCAGCCCCAGAGCATCCCGCTCCCTGCCAGAGCCAGCAGCCACCCCAGGCCCAGGAGGTGGCACAGCCGGTGTCCGAGGAGCACGGGGGGCCCGAGCAGCTCCCCAAAATTCATGGGATGCTCCAGCATGGAGTGCCCAAGCCAGAGCACCCCAGACACGGCCCCTTGCCCATCCCCATCCCATCGAAATGCACCCACTCCATCCCAAGGGACAAGAGTGGCACTAAGCCAGACCCTGCTGGCACCGAGAAGGGGTGACGGGCAGGGACAGGTCCCCGCAGGTCAAGACGTGCAGGTGAGGGGCGGCTGAGCCTGAGCCGCTTTCCAGCCCCACCGGCTGATCCTGCTCGCCCTGCGGCCGCCATGGATCAGCCGATGCTGTCTCGGGATCATCAGGGTACAGGGAGTTATTTATGTGCATTTCCCTGTGCGGGGGCTGTGCTTATGGCAGCCCCAAGCACCTCAGAGCAGGGAGCACCTCCAAATCCTTCTGCTTCCCACCGCCACAAAATTCTCTGAATCCACAGCTCCCAGTCGGGGAATCCAGCCCCCGCCACGCCCCATTAACTGCTGTTCCAGAGGGTTCTGGAGGTGACAAACACACCCGCTGTAATTAGCCAGGTGGCCCTTCCAATCACCCAACAACCTGAGCTGACTCAGAGGATCGGGTTTCCTCTTTCCCAGGGAAATTAGCAGGAATTAGGCGCCCAAATCCCAAACGCAGCTTTGCGGGGCTCGCTGGCAGTGCCAGGACGCAGGGCAGGGCAGGATAAGATGTGTGCCACTCAGGGCCACCCTCTGGTCCCCCATGTATGCTTTTCGGGACAGCCACTCAGCACCCGCGGTTCGGAGGAGCCCAAGGAGCTGGGGGTGACTTCAAGCACTTTTTTTTTTTTTTTCAGGGCACTTTCCAGAGGCGCAGCTTTTCTCAAGCACCACTTTCTCCACCAGGTCTCCTCCCAGGCTTGAAATTGGCTAAATAAATCGAGATACGAAATAATTCACGTGTGCACGCCCCATTTGCAGCTTGTACACCCCACGGCGCTGGCCTGGGGCTGCGTCCTGCAAACTCCGGGCTCAAATCGGCGGCGTTAAGCCTGTAAGTTATCAGGTGATTTAAGAATTTGTCCCCAGAACGGGGCTGCAGGAAAACGCTGCCCTGGTGAGAGCTCAATCTGCTTCAGGGGTGAGAAGGAGGAAGCAGCCATTTAATCAAATTAACAGGCCTGGTTTGGGGTGGGTCGGGGCTGTTTGGCCACATGGGGCTTCATCAATGGGGCCATCGGGGAAACAAAGCCGGGAGGGGAAACAAAGGGCACGTCCCTGTCCCTGTCCTCCCGCGCCATGGCCGGCCAGCCTGTGAACACCCGGGCCGGGACATCCCTGTTCACATCCCGGATCCCGGAGCCGCTCCCAGCCCGTTCGGACCCCCGGGGTACCGGGGCTGCACGGCTCCGTGCCATGCCAGCCCGGCACGGCACAGGCTGCTCCGCCGTGCCCCGCGTTGGGCTCAGCTGCCGTGGGGGGATAATAAATCATTTGTTTCCCCGTTTCCAGCCATTTTCAGCTTCTTCTCTGGTTGCAGAACTCAACCGCAGGATGGGGGAACTTGCCCAGTCCTGCTCCCAAACCCACTCGGCTACGAGCTGTAAATCAGGAGCCCAAATGCAGAAACAAAAGTGAAAATGTTCTTCCAGGACTGCAGCCCTGGGCCCTGCTCCAGCCCAGTTTTTCCTCTGTTCTCCCCTCCTTGCACGTGGCTGTGTGCCTGTACCTGGCTCCTAGGCCATCTCCCCACGTCTCTCTAGTTCTGGGGCACCACTGCAGCACTATTTTTCTTTAAAGACTAAGTGGTCGCCCCGCGGGTGAACCCAGTATGGGCTCAGAGAGTGGGGAGCTGCCAAAACTTTGAGGGATTAAAGCAGAGCAGCCCCAGTCGTTTGCAGGACTCAGGCTGCTGCCATTCACCGGCACGGCACAGTAAATAACGAGAGATATTAATAACAACGAGCCTCTGCCAGGACACAAACCAAGTTCCTTGTTGGGCTCACAGCAAAGGGGAAGCCTGAGAAGCAGTCTTGGTGTAAAAAAAGCCACATCCAAACCCAGGCAGGGCTGCCTGCAGGTTGAGGAAACATTTATTTTCGCCAAAAAAAAAAAGAAAAGGATACTTGGGGTCTGCAAACAACCGTTTGCCAGGACTTGAGGCCCTGGGATGGGGGAGACGCACCCAGGAGCTGCACGGGTGCAGGCAGGGTGGTGCTTGCACTTCCTGCAGGTGTTAGGGAACAGGAACCCTCTTGCAGGAGGGTTCTTCCCCCTCTTTGCTTTCATTTTTTAATTGTCAGAAAAGAGACACTGCTCCGATTGTGTTTTAGGCAGGGGAATTTGCAGGGGATTTGAAAAATCCAAATAACAATTAGCAGAAACAAGTGCCCCAAGCCTGGCTGGGTTTGGTTTGTTTTGCATCACAAACCTTGCCTGCCAGAGCAGTTTTGCACAAGCAGCTATTGATACTTTCACATTTCCTCTTTTTAAAGGTCCCCTTTTTTTTTAAATTTTAATAAAAACTTGCCTGAAACTTAAATCCAGCAGTCTGAAGTTCAGATCCTCACTTCAGAGTCCAACCCTTAGAGTCAGGATGGTCAAAAGCACCTAAATCAGAGTTTCCATTAGATTTGTGATTGTTGTTTTCACAGTTGGCAGAAATTTCACACAATGGGATCCTAAGCTGTGGACATCCAGGTATCTCATGAAAGAAAACTAGTGCAATTTGGAGTCCAAATGCTCCACATGTCTTACAAACACGGCCCTGGCACAACAGGGGCCATTTTTGGGGTACCTCACCCGAGAGCTGGTCTCAGCTGATTCCAGACTGACCCAAACCACTTCCAAACTGACCAGAGGAATTCTGAACAAAGTTTTTTACTGCAGACTGAGCCCAGCACCTTCTTAAAGCCCAGGAGAGCCTCAGGGCTGCTCACAAGCCCCCCAAGCCCCATTGTGTCGAGCAGGACCTGATCCCAAACCCCACTGTGCCGAGCAGGACCTGATCCTAAACCCCCCTGCGCTGAGCAGGATGTGCTCCCACACCAGCCTTCCCTTTCGCCAGAGGTGCTGCAGTAAAATATTAAATTAATATCATGACACGATCCAGGCGGCCCTGGGAGCCCCGGGGAGGGAGCCCCCACTGCTGGTGCCTCCAGATGGGGACCAGAACCTTTTTTTGTTGGGAGTCTGACCTGGTGAGGAGGCAGCAAACAGGAGCACCGTGCTTTGGCCATGGACACATGGCCCAGTCCTGGCTGGTGATTGCCCTCACGGGGGGGACACCAAACCCCCCACGCCAGCCCACAATACAGAGAGGGGAGAGCTGGGGGTGTTTCCATGGGGGGGGGGCACCCATCGTGGGGCCACCCAGCCGGGGGGGGGGGGCAACCGCCCCCCACCCCCACACAGCCCCATCCAGGAACATTCCCGGAGCGGGAACACGAGGGTGTCTCAATCCTTCCCGGCGCTGCTTGCAGCCTCCCAGGGGACCCTCCATGTGGCTGCAAGGACCCTCGGGCAGGCAGGGCCGGGGGCGCAGCCGCCGCCGCAGCCCTTTGAACGGCCCTATCGCTCCCGGCCGCGCCGCCCCGCGCCGCCCCCGCCGTGATGCGGCCCCGGCTCCGCCTCCCCCGCTCCGCCGGCGCTGGGAGCTCCCTTCGCCTGTTTGCCCTTATTTAATTTCGAGTGTGATTTTGCTATTTTTAGCAGCTGGATCCCCTCCAGTAAGGCTAGGAGCTCGCTCCGGTTTTTTTTTTTCCCCCCCTCTCCCCCCTTTCCCCCCCCCTCCATTTTTTTTTTTCCCTCGTTCCCTGCAAATGATTTTGACCCAGCTTCCTTCCTCCTGGAGCAATTTTTTTTTCTCTCTCTCTTTATTATTTATATAAATACGCGGGGCCTGGCGGGGCCGGGGATGCGGGGCTGAGCCGCAGCCTCTCTCTTCTCCTTGCAGATCCGCAGTCGCCGCGGGCGGGGGGTCCCTTCGCTCCGCAACACAGACCCGCCGGGAAAAACAAAACCATCAAACCGCCCCCAAAACCCTCCGCGAACACCCGGCTCCGGGATCAAGCTGACTGTGAGTGCCACCTTCCTCTTCCTTCGGCTGCGGGGGGCGCGGGGGGCCGGGGCTTTGCTTCCTCTCGCCGCATGCGGGGCACGCTCGGCCCCGGCGTGTCGGGCTTTGCAGGGACGCGGCTGCGTGCGGCCGGCGGTGCTTGGCTTTATTATTGGTATTAATTATTGTTAATAGCAGGGTGATGCACCTGGGGGGGGGGGGGGGGACGGGCGGGGGTCCCCGGTGCCGCTGCTCCCGCCGCCGAGCGACTTTGCTGCACTTACTCGGTTTGCGGGTGATGCAAACGCCCCACACCGCGCTCGGGGCCCGCATGGCCCCGGGACGGCCCCGGGACAGCCCACGAGGCCGGGACCGTGCAAGGTGCGTGGGGCCGCGGCCGGTGCACGGGCGTGGGAGCGGGACCCGGCCTTGGGGGCTGGGATGGCGGGAGGTGCGTGGGGCCGGTGCGAGGCCAAGCCCGGCTCACGGGGAACGCGCACACGCGGCTCGGGGCGAAGTTGCGGTGCTGGGGCTCAGCCGCCCCCCCCCGGATGGTGCCCCCGCATCCCGCCAGCCCCGCACCCCGCCAGCAGCGCTGGCTCCACGAGGGGTTTTATTACCCACCCCCCCCCAGGACAGGGGCTTCACAAAGCCCTGATGGTGCCCTTCCTGCCTCTTTTCTTTCTCCTCCACCTCCCTCCTTCCTTTCCTTTATCACTTCCTTTTATTATGCATCCCAGGAAGGAAGGGGGGGACTTTCCTCAATGGCAGCCCCGGGGTGGGGTTCAGAGCAGCCCCACGGCGGGTCTGTGCTAAGGAGGAGCCCGCACATCCCTCCCGGCCCGCACCCCTGCCCAACAGGCTCTTCAACTTCTGCTCCACGATTCCTTCCCCTCCTCCTTCCCCATCCCTCTGCCAGGAGGTGCGGCTGGGATCCTTCTCCAGCTGCCATCAGGCTGGATTTTCTGGGCGTGAAGAGATTTTATACATATATATATAAGTATATTTTTATATATATATATTTTTTTTTTTTATTTTATTTTTTTAAGATCTAAGCCCCCGCCTATCTTCCCGCTTCTCCTGGGCCAGTTTGTTTAATCTAAGAGTAGGTGGCAGGAGCGGGGGATTTATGGGGTTATCTGCACGGAGCAGCATAAGCCAGCACAGGCAGCTGGGAAGGCAGGACCAGGCCCAGGAGCAGCCGAGAGCGCGGTTCCGAGGGGACAGGTTGGGCTTGTGCAACCTAGAGGTGGCTGCTGAGGACAGCCCAGCTCGGGGTTGGAGCAGAGGGAGCCATGGGGCTGGGGGAGGAGAGCCCGGCGGCTCAGCATCCATAGGGATGGAGAAGGGGAGGAGGTTTCCTTCCCCCAGCTCCATCAATCGAGAAGCAGATGTGGCCCCTCCACCTCCAAACCGTGCAGAGATGTTTCCCCCCCTCCCTCGGCCGCGGGGAGCCGGGCAGCCCCTGCCCGCGTCCCCCACTGATTCCTCCCTGCCTGGAAAGGTTTCTCCCTCAGCTGCTTCCTCTCCTCCATGGCAACCCAGCTGCTCCCTCCCTCCCTCCATGGCTCTGATGCGTGTGAGCAGGGCCGGAGCTGCTCCCGCCATGTGCCCGGCATCGTCCCACAGGCTCGGAGCACACCCCGGGCCTGGCCGGTGCTGCCGAGCCGGGGGCATTGGCGGGGAGCTGGGGCTGCTCTCGGGAACAGGGTGGGCTTGGCTGGGAAGGTGCTGGCATGGGAGAGAAGCATCCCCCATTTCCAGCATCCTCCTCCCAACCCCCTCTGCCTGAGCGGGGCTCCCTGAGTCCCCCCAGCTCTGCAGACCCCTGGGGAGAGCTCTGAGGTGCTGGAGGGAGGGCTGGGATGAGGAGGGATGGATGGGTGAGATGCAGAAGCATGGGTGGGAGGTGCACGTGCTTTCCCCAGCACCAACAACTTTGCAGCAGCAGGAGCTGCTTTTGGTGGGGGATGGGTGGCAGAGCCAGCGGCATCTCCGTCCCGTGGAGGGTCCCCTTGGCATTCCCAGCCGGAGCTGCTGTGGGGTCTGGTCCCTCCTCCAGGGGTGGAGAGCACGGCAGGGTGGGGGCCATGCTGGGCCCATCTGTTTCCAGCTGCGGGAGGGGGCACGCAGCAGCTCCAGGCTGCGCTGCCTCTCACAGAGATTGACTTAAAAAGAGACAAAACCCCGTCCCAGCCCAACCAGCAGCCGGCCCTTTGCTGGCCTAAATCTAAACCATACTTCTTTTTTTCCCTAAGAGACTCCTTGATGGGCTCTGGGATGCTGTGAGTAATATTTTCGGGGTGTTTACACTACGGCATGGTTTCTGTCTCCCAAAAAAAAAAAAAAAAAAAAAAGACTCCGAGGGTGGTTTTTGTTGTTGTTGTTCTGCACTCATGAGTCACTTCCAGAGGGGAGCAGGAGCTGACGCCTGTTTTTTGAAAAGGCTCAGAGGTCTGAGTGTGGCTCCTCAGGCTGCATGTCCTGCCCACACCCTCCCCAGTGAGGCTCAGCGTCCCAGGGGGCTCAGCACCTTCTGCTGTTGCAGCCCCACTATCCCAAGTGCTCCCATACCATCAAATCGAGACCAGTTCCTCAAAACTGAGCGTTATTATCCCAGAGTTAGGAGGGTGCCTCCATCAGCACACAGACTGGGCACACAACCTTGGACCTGCCTCTGTTGCTGCTGGGAAGCCTCACAGCTCCACTCTGGGCAGGTGTCCCCAGCATGAACTTGGTCACCTGGCCCTGCGTGGGGTCACCAGCAAGCACCAGGCCTGTGGCAGCAATCCTGCTCCTTGCCACCCTGAGTCCATCCTCCCAGCTCCTGGGCTGGCAGACGGGCATGGCTCTGCCCCACGGCTCTGGAAAAGCAGGTTTTCCCTGTGCCCCTGGGAAGCATCGAGGTGGAGAGGGGAAGATGGAGCCTTTTCCTTTGTGGGATTGCTCCAAGAGCAAGGGAGAGCTGCCCGGCCCTTTGGAACATGCACAGGGGAGGTGACAACCCAGTGTCCCCAAGTTAAAGTGCCTGTCTCTAACCCCAGCTAGGTGGCAGGAACAGGGGCAGGGGTGCAGCAGTGCCGAGGGGAGCAGGGCTGTGGGACCCTGAGCCCCACTCCAGGGTCCTGGCACCCCTCTGGTGACACCCATGGTCCCCAGTGGCACCACTCATCCTGTCCCAACTCATGGATGCCAGCAGCACATGTGGGATTTCATGTTAAACCTGGAGCCATTCTCCTCTTTTTGAGGAAAAGGGCCAGGCTCTGCAGGATGGGCTGGCCAAGCTGCTGCTCCCCAAACACCTGAGGGGACCCCAGGAGCTGCCTGAGCACTGGCTGGGCCTGCAGGGTGGCCATGCCATGGGCTTGGGCCACTGCCCTGCAGCCAGTGCCAAGAGCATGCAGGGGGCATCTCACCTGGCCCAGGTGAGGGCTGGGGGATGGCACGGCTGGCATGGTGAGCCACAGCCATGGCTGATTGACCTTCCTCCCTCCCGGGACAGACAATGAGTGAATCCAGCGCCAAATCCAGCCAGCCCCTGGCCTCCAAAGGGGAGAAAGACGTGTCGGAGAAGAGGGGCCGAGGGCGGCCTAGGAAGAAGCCGCAGGTACGCGGGGTCCCCTATGAGAAAGGAGGGACTGGGCACCCCCAGGGTATGGGGCAGCAGGAAACCCCCCCCACACCTACGCCCCTAGGCTGGGGACACCCCCAGTGCAGCCCCATTACCCCTTTGAGCAGCACCTCCCCAGGACTCGCCAGCAAGACCCTCCTGGGGGGCTCCAGAGCACCCCAGAACTCCTGGCCCTCGCTGGGGGCTCTCCTGCCCCTCCCCAGGCCCTGCTGAACCTGCCTTTGCAGACAGGCTAATTAAAGCCCCATTAGCAAAAGCTGCTCAGAGAGATAAGATGCTGCTGGAGCCTTTATAGTACCAAACCCCGCTCAGCCCCCCCCCCCCCAAGGCAGGTGGGGTTTGTGCACATCGTTTTCCTGCAGAAAAGGTGATTTGTGGCTTCCTCGAAGCTTCCTCGGCTGCTGCAGCACCAGCAGCAAGCAGCGTCTGAGCTGAGGGGCCGTGGGGAGCATCCACGTGAGCTGAGTGGGTGATGCTGGGGGTGGAAAAGGTCACGTATGCCCAGCTGAAGGAGACACAGGAGCCTGTGCCTGGTGTCTGATCGCCAATCCCAGTGTGACCAGTGCTCCCAGTACCACATGGAAGAGCATCTCTGCCCTAGTGGGGTCTGCTGGGGACAACGGGACTCCCAGGCTGGAGTGTCCTGGGGTGCACTGGAAGCCGCTCTGTGCATGCAACCCCCTCTGCTCTCCCTCCAGCAGGAGCCCAGCGAGGCCCCGACCCCCAAGAGACCCCGTGGACGGCCGAAGGGCAGTAAAAACAAGGCCACCACAAAGGGCAGGGTAGGTACCCGGGGATGGGGCTGCTCCAGCTGGGTGCTGGTACCACAGGTCTGGTTTGAGCTCAATTATGGACAATTCAGGGCAGATCTGCCTCAGAGGTGGGGACTGGGAGGTGGGAATCTGGCCCAGGGAGGGTGGGGGAGCTGGGGACCATGTGTCAGCACCAGGACACCCGAGATAAACTTGTTTGCAAAACACGCGACTCACATCCTGCACCCACCTTGTGACTCACGGGGCATCCCAGGGCTGGGGGGGCTCGGGGGGCTGGCAGCAGCACCCCAGGAGATGCCACTGGAGTGATGAATCTGGCAGGCACGGGTGGGAGGAAGGGGAACACCGCCCACCCCTGCCAGCATCCTGGGGACAGCCTGGTCAAAATGCCTTTTTTTTGTTGTCCTGGCTTAGAAAGCTGCAGTCACACCAGGGAGGAAACCTCGAGGGCGACCCAAAAAATCGGTGAGTGGGCTTTTCCCTACCCTACCCACCCTGGCAGGGCGCTGGGCACTTTGGGGGCACGGCAGCTCCCCAGAGAGTCCCATGAATACAGGGTGGATGCTTTCAGGTTGGAGGAGCTCAGAGCAGTTGTGTGAGTAGGACACGGCACTGGGTGGGCTCCAAACCCCCTAGGGCTGGGGATTTCAGGAATCCTGCCCCCCCCACCTCCCCATAGGCCCAAGAGCAGCGTTGGGTGTTTGGTCCTGCCCTGGGGACGTGCTGGCACACGCCTGCCCAGATCCCTGCACAGCATTCCTGCAGCCCGTGGGTGCAGCCACCCCCTTCCTTTACTGAGCTTTCCCTCCTCCATTCCATTTTTTCTCCATTCCCCTCAGTTCGCAGCTCAGGCAGCTGCCAGGTACCCGGACAGTTTCATCTCCCTTCCCTGCGTGTCCCAGATTTTGTTCTTTTTCCCACTGAAATTCCTTGCAGAGCTGAGGGTGGCAAACCCGAGGTGGCATCCTGGGGTCTCCTGTGCCGGTGTCACAGTGCCAGGGGCTGTTTGGGGACCCCAGTAAGGGGGGCGGTGTGGGAGGAGCCTGTCCCGTGCCAGCGGGGCCGTGCCGGGGACACGATGTCCCGCTCTGGCAGGCGCGGTGGCGTTTTTGTGAATGAAGCGGGAGGAAGCGGGGGCCGGTGTGACTCAGGCTCACTCAGCCCTGAGTCACCGCCGCGTGCGGGGTCACGGCCGCCCACCCCGGCCTGGGGGCTGGCCGGGGACACCCGGGACTGGACAGGGACAGCCGTGGCTGCCACCACCCCACGGTGGCCACTGGGGACCGCCGTCCTAGCCACCGAGGTGTTGCACAGTCAGGGGTGTGGTCTCCTCTCCTCACTGTGAGCCCACCCTGGGGTTTCTCACCTCTCTCCAAGCTGGAGTCAGGGCCAGTCCTTTAATGCAGGAGGGTGCTCAGTTTCCCTCGTTGCACAAGGGCTGTGATGTGTGTGGCCAGCCCTTTGTCCAGGGGCAGTGCAGTGGGGCTGCGCTCCCTGACACCCCCCGGCCACGCTCCCTTGCCTTGCAGCAGCAGGACGAGGAAGAGGTGAACATTTCCCAGGAGTCATCCGAGGAGGAGCAGTGACACCTCCCGAACCGGCGCTACCTCATCGCCCGACGGCCCCGCAGCGGCCGGGGGAGAGGGACGGGGAGAGACCCACTGTGCCGCCCTGGCTTCCTCCTCCTCCCTCCTCCTCCGCTCCCTCCTCACCCTCAGACAACGGCAGCACTGGAAAATGGCCCAACCCGGGCGGCCCCCACAGCCCCCGCCCGGGGGGGGCACCTGCCCCAGCTCCCCCCCTCCCCAGCCCTGGGATTCGGGGCAGCCCCACTGGAAAGGGGGATCATGGCAGAGAGCCGGGGCTGGCACCCCCCACCTTCACTGCCCCCCACGCAGTGATCTCACCTGGCTGCCTCCCCCAGCACTGGGCTCTGCCCTGGGGACTCTGCAGGGAAGAGCCGGGGGGGCAGTGAAGGTGAGACCCCCCCAATGCATTAGACCTTTGCTCTGGCCCTGCTACCCTGGGCAACCCCCTTTGTCCCCCCAGTCCTGGGTGACTGCACTGTGCGTGGGAGCAGCTCCCGCAGCGCTGCCAGGGCCCGGTGCCCATCCCCGGGGGTGCCCATCCCCAGGGGTGCCCGAGCATGGCTGGCTCCAGGCAGCCCTTTCCTCATAGGTTCTGGTATATATATATTTTTTTGTTTAGTACTTTTTTTCCTTTCATTCACAACTACCTCTGGATATTTAAGTTCCACTCTCTGAACTCACAGATGTGCTGCTGCGCTGCCGGGGCACCGTGGGCTCGGTGGTTCCTGTTTTCGGGGTGTTGCTGGGGGCTGTGGGGTATTTTTTTTTTTCCCCCTTTTTTTTGGGCTCCATTTTTCTTTTTTTAAAAAAATCGTTATTTTGAGGTCTAGTTCGCTCTGCTGCTTCAAGGGATCGAGGCTGGCAGGGCAGAGGTGTGGGGGGACCATAGGATGTTCCCCCTACTCCTCTGCCCCGGCACGACGGCTGCAGCGGGACCGGAGGTCGGTGCCGGGCGGCCCCGGCGGGAGAGAATCGGGGTTTGGTTTGGGTTTCTTTTTTGGTTCACTGTTAACGACCTTTTGGGTTCCTATTTGCAGTTACTTGAATAAAACATTTTATGGATGTTTGTGACGCCTCTGTTCCCGGCCCCGGCTGGGTGGGGCAGGGGTGGCTCCTCCCCGGGCATCTCCTCCACAGGGACATCCGTGCTGGTGGCGGCCACCAGCCATCCACGGGGATGAGCTGCCGATGGAAACACAAACAGGCAAAGCCCTGCTGCCCCCCAGACTCCCAGCCAAGGCCAGGAACTCCCAGCCCCACACCGAGCCTCGGGGCCAAGGCAGAGACACATTTATTACCCCATCTTCCCCCAGGCATCCCGTACCAGCAGAGCCCGCTGCTCCCTGCCAGTCTGCCAGCCCCTGTGGGCCCTCCCGGCATTTTCCAAGAGGCTGCTGGAGCAGTTCAAGCAAAACAAAAAGGCAAAATCAGGCACTGAGGTGGGAGATGTCCCGTCCTGGTCAGTGCTCAGAGGTGAGGGCAGCGGCTGTGGCATCGTGGCACCACCGTGGGCACATCCTGCCTGTTTTGGCTGATGGTACCAGTGCTGACACTGTCCTCCCTTCCCTCCTTGCGGGCAGGATCCGGTCCCGGTGCTCCAGGCAGGGTCAGGCCCTCCAGTCCCTGCGCGGGGGCCAAGAGGGCGAGGGTCCCCCCCAGCCGGGCACCACCTGGAACACAGAGGGACACACCTGCAGCCCAGGGCATCGTGGCGGGTGGGGAAAGCACTGCCCACGCAGCCCAACCCTCCCAGAAACCTCTGGATTACACCCAAAGCCCAACTCCCTCGAGGTTGGACTCAACCTTCTTGGAGGTCCTTCCCAACCTGAATGATCCCACGATTCCCCCTCGGGACAGGCACCTCACTTGCTGCTGTTTACATTTTTCATGGAAAAAACACAGGATAAACACCAATTCCCACCACAGCAACCCACCTGAGCCTCCTCAGCCTCCACCAGCAGCTCCTGCTCCGACTCGGGCGGCTCCTCAGCCGGGTCGTAGCTGTACATGGGCAGCAGCCGGTGCCGCAGCCGGTCGGACCTGCCGGGGGTCAGTGGTGAGTGGTGACCCCACAGTCCCCCCACGGCCCCCCCAGCGGCGCTGCCTCGCTCACCTGCGCTTCTTCTTGACGTACATCACCTGCGGGGAAAGGCATCAGCAGCGCGGGGCTCGGCGCTGGGCTCGCTGCCCCCCGATGTCCCCAGCCCGCCCACTCACCGCGGCCAGGAGGGCGCCGAGGAGGGTGAGGAGGAGGAAGGGCCCCAGCACGGAGCCCACCAGCGAGTCCCCCGCCGCGCCCGGGGCCGTGGGGGCCGTGGCGTTGCTCATGGCCCAGCGCCGGCTCCTGCCCGCATGGGGGGGACGCGCCTGTCCGGCCCCACGGACGGGAGCTCTACAACCCACAGCCGGCCTCGGGAATCACCCACCGGCCTCGGGAATGACCCCCACCCCGACACTGACCCACCACCCGAGAATGACCCCACCCCAGGAATTCAGCACCCAGGAATGACCCTCACCCCGGGAATGACCCCCACCCCGGCACTGACCCACCACCCAGGAATGACCCCACCCCAGGAATTCACCACTCAGGAATGACCAGCGCACAGGTAATAACCCACCTCCCGCCCGCTAATTACCAACTACCCGCTAATGATCCCCCACCCGGTATCACCCCGTGGGGGATGGGGTCACCCCGCACCCTCCTCTATGCAGAGCTGGGGAGGGAGGATCCGCCTTCACCAGCAGGAGGGGCTCCCGCACTGGGCTCTGCCCGGGACACCCCCGCACCCCCAACCCCCACCCCAATTCCCCCCTTTTTCCTC